TAAAGCAGCTTTACAAAGGGGAAATTTATCATGTTGAGGTGGCAGTAAACAGCTTGAGCAAGGATGCTTTCCACATTCATAGTAAACAGAGGATGAGAATCCTCCTAACATTTTATTAAACTACTACTGAGGTCAAGTGGTTGTGATTTTGAWGAGAATTAAAAGGCTATTGCTAACTAAACTTGCCTTATAATATTAGTATCAGAGTTTAAAAATTTTGACTGCTAATTCAAAGTGGAAAATTTCAGTTCAAGAGCTATGATATTGAGAYTTTTAGGCTTGGATCAGTATGAAATTAGCTAACACAGTTAAAAAAAGGGTGCCAAAACCAAAAGTACTGCATGTTTTTCAGTGCTGATGAAGGACAGTGGTTATATGCTTTATTTACAGCAGGTTATTTTCCAGTTCTGCTACAAAAGCAACCAGTTTCTTCCYGAGCCTTTCAACAGAGCTGGGACAAGTCATTTCTTCACCTGTAAARCTGGCAACTGAGGCATTAGGTTAATTAGACTAAAAGGTTCTCTGGCTCCAGAYGTCAAATTTCACATACTCTGAGTCAGATTTTACTGTCTTTAGTAATATACAGGATTTTACAGGAGGTTTAGCTCCCACAGAGTTCACCTGCACTTCTGCATTTCTGCAAATGGCTACAAGTTCTCAACCCAGCCATCTGAATACAGTCTGAGCAGCCACCTAGGAACAGTCACTTGAGTGTCTCTTGCAGAAACACCATGACTGAGCACGGACAGCACACAGTTCATCACTCAGCATTCAACTGTCTTGGCCATAAAGTCCTTTATTTTATTCCCCAAATCTCACCTTCACTCATTCCACATTTCTCAATTTCCCCAACTTTTACTTGTACAAATCCTGGATTCATTCTCAGAACAGGCCCCTTTCCCGTTCCACTCAAACAGTTGCCTCTCTGACAAAGCACATGACACTTGTGATGAGGTCACAATGCAGTAAATGCAAGAGGTCAGAGTTAGACTTCAATGTTTGAAAAAAGTGAGCTCTTGATTTCTGCCCTCTAAATAACATTCCTGTACTGACATTTGAGTCTAACTTTTTTTTTTTTTAAATTGATGCTCACACAGTTCATTAAAACCTTGATACCCACTCAGCTACTGAGGTTTAAATGCAACAAAACCAAACGGAACATTCAGTAGAAAAGGAAGTATTGTTTTGCCAGCATGATACACACATTTTCTGTGACCAAAGGAATGGTATAAACCAGACACACACATGCTCCCAAATTCTTCTCCTCCACATCTGTCAAGCTCTYTCAGATGTGTGAGACAGTTTCTTTTTCCAGAGGGCCCAGGTCTCTCACCAGGGAGAAGGAACAGGACATGGGAACAGGCAGGGGTGATACAAGAGACAATGCTGCCCACTCCTAGCTCAATGTCAGCACCCAGACCCRACCATCACAACTCCTCGCAGAAGTGGGATGAAATATGCAGCTCTACTCTGCCTGGAGCACTCCCAGTGTGAACAGAATCTAAAGGAAGCTTACTGTGAAGTTTCAAGAAATTCCTATTAAGCCCATGAAAATGGCAATCTTTCAAAGCCTTGTAAACCGGTCTGGAAATTTGGGTGGATTTTTACAGGGAGGCAAAAGGCACATCCTCAACACAAAGGCTGAACTATGGCCAAATTTCAAATCCTTGCTTTAGAGCTTAGGGGCACTGGAGCATCAAAAAAGGACACGAGAATATTCTCACACAAGCAAAACAGCATACTTTTCACTAGCCTTATTCTTGGAACAGAACTGCTTTGGCTGAAACTTCCAAAAAATTCAACCCAAAGCAGCTATCTGGCATGGAAAAATCTGTCTGAACTGAACTTGGGCAAACGTTAAAGTAACTAAGAGTTAAGCCTTGAAACGGAAAGGTCACACAACCTTAAGCAGATGAGGCACTAGCAGCACTACCTATACTAAATACTATACCTAAAATCCATTTCAGTTGACTTTGTTCAAAGTCAAGCTTGTTCTTTTAAAGCACAAACCACAGTATATGCACATATACACACAAAYACACATATGTTTCATCCCAGCTCTACAGCGTTAGTCCACTACAAACAAAGACCAGATTAAGTTTCCTCCTGTATTTTTAACTCTTATGTAGATCAAGACTCAGTCTCAATTAACTGTCCTCCAAGAAAGTTTAAAAAATCAGCTTCATTAWTAATCACCCGAGTGAAATCAAAAAGTCAAACTTTGTTTCTGTTATGCGTTTTATTCAGAAACTTTTTTTTTAAAAAAAAAGGATTTAATCAGTGCAAGTTCAGTATTGGTAACTCAGGACAGTTCCTGAAGCTCTAGACTAATCTCACTGTGCAATATACTGAAAGCCCAGTTTTTGTGGCTTTGCAAAGTTTGCTTCTAATACTATAAATYTTGTGATAATTGGAAAACAAGAAGACCATGAAAATCAAAATAAAAGAACAAAGGGATGAAAATTGAAATGGAAAAATCACTCACTTGTACTTGCTGCTGTTATACTCTAGCTCTTCTGCTTTCTCGTCGTTGCTTTCTTATTTTTCCTGTGCTCTGTGTGCTACAGCTTTACCTAYGAACATATACTCCCAAATCCAGGAATCCACATTATTTGGAAAGTCAAAGAATAATTAATGTTCTCAATGGAAATTTCCTCCCCAGCCAATTTAAAAGCCCTGTTTTTTTCACTTTATTGTACTGTCCAGAGATTCTACAGAATTCCATACATATTTGGCAAGGCTACTATTGCAACTAATGGGTGTCCAACCACAGAAGATGCAAACCACACAACAAAATAAAAAAAAAAAAGCAACTTGAGGCTACACTGTAGAGAGATAACTGAACACAAGACCAGAGTTTTTAGGAGGAAGTTTGTTCTACAATCATAGCCTCCTTATTAGCTAGGAAGTTACTTACCAGAAGAATGCTTTTCTATTGTATTAATCCTACTTAAATTGAATATTGACTTCTTTTCAGTGATATTTTGTTTACATTTTGTGGTGTCTCCAAATGGCATATAACTCCAACTGCTACTTCTACTAACGTTACAAATGCAATCCAAGTTTTTTGCTATATTTACAGTAGTCTAACATCCTTGAAATAAAACATCATTTTTCTTGCCCTTTAAAGGTATCTTTTGTGAAGACATAGAAAGGAAAACTCACTGTATGTAGTTTCACATTCAGGGTAATTACAAATACATTCCAGATGTATGCTAGACAGGGCTCCCACATCTCAGGGGAATAAATATATAAAGGCAAAAAAAAGCAGCCYATTTTTTCCCTCYGGGAAAAGWKTGCAGAAGAGGACCTATGTACTGACAGAAAGCTGAGAATTCTTGCTCCCATCATGGCTTCAGCATRACAACATGATTCTGAGATGTTGATACCTCAYCAAATTTCCATTCCATCATCTTTACTACTAGAATCGAGTGGCTGTGAAACCAAACAGCATTTGATTTCATTCCTTCTACTTTCCTCATAAAGCTGTTAAAGCTGCTTTTTGTTTTACT